TCTTTCCCCCACATCCTTGCCAGCAGTTGTCATTATTTGTATTCTTGATGATTGTCATTCTGACTGGGGTGAGATAAAATCTTAATGTAGTTTTGATCTGTATCTCCCTGAGTGCTAAAGATGTTGAAGATATTTTTATATATTTGTTGGCCTTTTGTATTTCTATTTTCAAAAATTGTTTCTTAATGATCTTTTTTCCATTTATTGAGTGAGTGATTAGTGTTTTCTTTTCTCTCTCACTCTCTTTCTTTTTTGGTATTGTCTTTTGAGTTCTTTATATTATGGATATTATTCTCCTGTCAAAAGAGTTACTGGGAAAGATTTTCTCCTGTTATATAGGCTTCCTCTTCATACCCTTGTTTCCTTTACTGTGAAGAAGCCTTTTAATTTAATGCTAAATTCTTGGTTTTATTTCTTGAGCTTGAGGAGTCTCATTGAGGAAGTTGATATATGTGTCAATGTGTTGGAGGGTTGCCTCTTTTTTTTTCCTAGTAGTTTCATTGTTGCTGTTCTAATTCCTAGATCTTCTATACACTTTAAGTTGATTTTTGTGCATGGTGAAGGGTTTCATTCTTCTATATATGGATATCCAGTTTCCCAGCATCCTTTGTTTAAAAGGCTATCTTTTTTCCCAACATATGTTTTTTGGTAGCTTTGTCAAGGATTAGATGGCTGTGTTTATGTGTATTTGTCTCCATATCTTCTAGTGTATTCCATTGGTCTTCATTTCTGTTTTATGCCCATACCATCCTGTTTTTGTTACAGTAGTTCTTTAGTATAATTTGAGATCAGAAATTATTATGCCTCTAGGCCCCCACTATTGTAATTAAAGAAAAAAATTGAGAGTCAAACAAAAAGTCAGACCAAAACACACAAATAAGCCTTATCCCTCTGAGATCAAAACAATGTGAAATAACAGCTGATTGAGGAAATAAAAAAGAAATATATAAGGAAAATGTGACTTAAAAAGAAGAGAAATAAATGAAGATATACATGGATTCATGAGCCAGTCAACACAGCTATAACACCTGCAGCCATATTCATACTTATTGAAAAAAGGAGAAAAGAAAAAGAAAAAACAGACAAAAATAATGTCTTTCAGTTTCCTCTTGGGTTGTGCACCCCTTAGAGCAGGACTGGGGGTTGTTAAATCCATCTTCTGTCAGCTGGAGTGTCCTGGAACTGAAGCTGGTTGTATTGGTTCTCTGGATCCCTGCTCACAGATTTGAGACAAATGGGAAGTAATGACAATTGGAGTGTTGTCTGTTCAAACCAGGTAGATGCCATCCTAAGAGCAGTACTGATTCATTCATTCTGTATGTGAGGTTCAGGCAGCTGCTGTTTAGTTCTGGCTGATTTTTCAAGCTTTGCCTTGAAGTATCTACTCTAGAGCAAACACTTCCACCTATCTTATTGCCAGGCAAATGCTGATTTTTGTTGGGCATCTGAATCTGGGAGAGGGTCCTGTGAGAGCTCCACTCTTGAAGCTCATCTCATACATGCCACCCACCTACAAATATGATCTTCCCAGGACAGACTTGTAGTACAAATTTGCCCTCTTGTCCAGGGATTTCTCTGGTTAATCCCACAAGCTTCCAAATCCCAAGGGGAAAGCAAGAAGCATTCCCTTCTGTATCCTTGCCTGAGTCTCCCCGGGCACAAGCCCCCTCTGTTTCTGCCTCAGTTGAGCCCCTCTAAGGAGAACTCTAGATCTCAGGCAGACACATACAGGGACAAGTCAGTAGGAACACTCAATTTCAGATCGCCCCTCTCTTCTACAGGCTCCTCTTTGCCAAATTTTCTTTGCAAATCCAGTCTTGTCTTTCTACTTGGGTTTCTCCTCCTCTCAGCAGTAGACTGATGCTGCAGCCTTGTTACCTGGATTCCCTAGGTATTCTTTCCTGTCCTATGTTCAAATTGCATAAATTTCTGTCTCTGTGATTCTAATACTGAGATTTGGTGAATTTTCCCTGTTACCCACCTCACTAAGAAGAAATATTCCTGCTAGTTGGCTTCAGAGTCACAGAGCAAGTGGAAGTAGCACCCTCCCTCTACTCCTCCATCTTTTTTTCTCCTCTTCAAGTAATTTTATGGTTTGGATTTTAAATATAGGTCTCTGATCCATTTTGAAATATTTTTGATTAAGAGTATAAGGTTTATTTCTGGATTCATCTTTGCATGCAGCATTCAGTTATTTCAGCATCATTTGTTGAAAACTCTTGGCTTCATTGTATTGTCTTTGCTCCTTTGTTGAAGATCAATTGACAAATTTACATGGGTCCATTTCTGGGCTTTGTATTGTGTTCCACTGGTGATTGATCTATTTTTTTTTTTGCTAATACTATACCTCCTTTAGTACTTGTTTATGGTAAGTCTTCTCTTTCAATATTGCACTGCCTATTCTAGGCCTTTTTCTTTTCATATAAACTTGAGAATTGATTTATTGATATCCAGAAAATAACTGTCTGGGATTTTGATTGGGATTGCATTGAATCTATAGATCAAGATGAGGAGAACTGACTTCTTGACAATATTGAATCTTCCTTTCTGTGAATGTGGAATTTTGCTCTGTTTATTTTATTCTTTGACTCCTTTCATCAGAATTTTGTAGTTTTCATTATACAGATATACATTTTTATTAGATTTATACATAATTACTTTATTTTAAGGGTATTTTCAGTTTAGAATTCAACTTATTAATTGTTGATATATAGGAAAGTGATTTATGTCTTCACTATGTATCTCTCAACTCTGTTAAAATTTCTTTTAAGTTCCATGAATTTGTTCTTTTACATTTTCCACATAGATAGCCATGCCATCTATGAGCAGTTTTATTTCTTTCTTCCAAGTCAGTATACCCTTTATTTCCTAATTGGATTAGCCTGCAATTCCAGTACAGATTGACAAAAGAGCAAGAGGGGATATGCTTGTCTTGTATCTAATTTCCTATCCTCAAGTGTGATGTAACTGTAGGTTTCTTTGGAAACAATTATTTATTAAATAACTCTATAATTCTTTTATTTCATATTTTTATACTGTAGTCATGTAGCATGTAGTCATTTCTATTTCTAGTTTCCAGTTTAAAAAGTTTAATCATGAATGGATGTTGGATAGTTTTCAGGTGATTTTTCTGCATCTTGATAGGATCAAATGATTTTTATTCTTAGGCCTGTAGATGTGATGGATTACTTAACTGATGTTCAAATGCTACACTTTGCATGCTTGGAATAAATTTCATTTGGCTATGTTGTGTAATTATTTTTTGGGGTTTGGTTTACCAATATTTTGTTGAGAATTTTGTCTCTGCATTCATGAGAGATATTGGTATGCATTTTTTCTTATAATGTCTTTATATGGTTTTGTTATTAGGGTGATGTTGGCTTCTTGGAATAAGTGGAAAAGTGTTCCTTTTTATTACATCCTATGGTAGAGATTGCAGAGATTTGAAATAATTTCTCTCTTAAATTTTGGCAGAATTAACCAGTGAATCCATCTCAGCATAGTGCTTTCTATTTTGGAAGATATTGATTCAATTTCTTTAATAAATAAAAACCTATTCAGGTTGTCTTTTAATGTGACTTTTAGCATGTTTTATCTTTCAAATAATTGGTTCAATTCATCTTTATTATCAACTTTGTAGATATAGAGTGGTTCATATACCTGATTATCTATTTAATGTCCACCAGATCTGTAGTAATGTTTCCTCTGACATTTCTGATAATAGTAATTTGTGACTTCTTTTTTCCTTAGCCTGGCTATAGGCTTATTAATTCTGATTTTTTTTTGTGTGTAGAACCAACTTTAGGTTTTAGAAATTTTTCCTAATGATTTCATTTTCCATTTTATTGATTGATTTCCCTTTCAGATTCTCCAATTTTTGTTAGTTCTTGACCTTTGCTTATTTTGTTTTTCCTTATTTCCTAAGATGGATGCCCAGATATTGATTTTAAGATCTTTAAATCTTACCAATACATGCATTTTATGCTATAAATTTCCTAAGTACTGTTTCTTCTGTGACCCACAAATTTTGATATTTGCGTGTCCATTTTCATGTAGCTCAAGGTATTTCAAAATTTCTCCAGATTTTTTTTTGATCCATGTATTTTTAAAGATTGTTCAATCACCACGTTTTTTGATTGCATAGCTTTTTTTGTTATTGATTTCTAGTTTAATTTTGTTTTGGTTTGAGAGAAGACAGAATATAATTTCCGTTCTTTTAAATTCATTAAGGTATGATTTATGGCCCCTTTGAATTCTGTTCCATTGATCTATTTGTCTGTTTTTACACTAGTACAGCTGTTGTATTGTGATTTTATAGTAATCTTTTGGAATCAGGAAGAATAACTCTGTGTTCTTTTACTCCATATTTTTATATTATAGTCATATAGCAAATGCTCATTGCACATATGATGGATAAGGCACATTTGGTTTTTAAAATCATAATACTTTTTTCTTAATGATTAGTCTCTTGTGGAAAAAAGTATTCATAGGAAAAAATTTCAGGTCACCAATTCGTAGATAAGGCATGAACATAGTATGTTTTAGTAGATACAGAATAGATTATATAGAACCGCTGGGTCCTCTCCCTCCAGCCTCTATGTTCTGTATTGCGCAACACTGCTACATTTATTAGGCATTTATTCCTTCTTCTTAGAGAAAAAGTGGATTTTAAACTAAGAATTTTGATTAGATATTTGTTTGTGTAAAAGTTATCTTTCATTATAGACACATTTGGAATAACCTCAGAAGTCAGTTTTTCCTTCCTTTAGTACTTTTTGCAGTAATAGGCCACACCATTTGAGGAATTAATGCAAAATTTTTGGGTCCTCAGCTACAGCTCTTTTTGAATTTGTTGTATTCACATGCATACATTGCCACATTGATATTTACATATCCACTTTATCATCTCACTGTTCCTGAAGTGGTAACCACCTTCAGTAGAACAAAGAGGGGAGAAAATAGGAAAATTGGAGTTCTACAAAAGCATGATGGGAGTCATATGATAAAAAGCAGATTTTCTTTATTATGATGTTTCTCCATATTTGGCATTGCTGTAAATGGCTAACTAACATTTACTGCCAATTCAGTACAAATGTGTGGTTTGATAATACCAGAACAGCGAATTTAAATGAAAAATAAAAGTTAAACATTTCCACACAAAATATTACAGTCTGACATTTCACTGCATAGGTAAAAAGACATTTTTTTAAACTACAGATTATTATTGAGCATGAATAGAAAACTACAACTTTTATTTTTAAACAGGAGTCACTGGTTTTAATTTTTACACATTTTAAAATTACTGTGATAAAAAATAATGAAAAAGCTTCTTAATAATGCCATACACAGTATAATATAGATTTGTCCCCATTATATAGCATTTGTTTAATATACAAAATAGAATATTGACACACTTGAATCTATATGTAGTTAAGCAAGTTATTTTAGGAGGGTATTTTCATACAGCCTTTCATCAGAAAATAAAATCCTTCTTTCAGACATTTTCTAGAGAGAAGCTAATCCTTTCCTGAAAACCTAGTCACTATTCCTTAGACCAGGTTAATTGAAAATAGTCTGGAAAATAAAACTTCTATCTAAAGTGGTTTAAAGTGTTTCCATACACTTTTATTTCCTCTTCCCTCACTGAAACCAGGCACATAAAAACACATTCATCTACAGCTACATTTGTTGGGGTGACCAACCAAGATCAAAAATCTCACTGATGGCTACCATGATTATTGGATTTTGACAAATCAAAGTATAAAAATATTGTTCATTTCACGGAGATGTAGTTTTTAAAATATATTTAAAAGGGAACTAAAATAAGACTTAAATAAAATTGGAATTGTTCCTCCCCTCCCCTTTCTCTCCCTCATTGTCCCCGTCCTCCCAAATTCTGAAGTGAGGCTTTCTTTTATGTGCTTGCCCAGAGTCTTATCCTGTGTTCATTATTATGCTCTTTGAAGACACTAACCAATCATGCTAGTTCTCCTTTTGGAGTGGTGAAGTTACCCTCCCCACCAAGAGAAGGCAGGTGAGCTCCTTCAGGCTACCCTTCCCCAATTTTACACAGATGGGTGTGTGTGTGTGTGTGTATCTATCCCCAAGCCTCAAGTCCTTCTCCTCAGTTATGATTGTATAGTATCCCACAGTAATGCCTAAAAAACACTGAGAGGATCACTTTTTTCTACCAGTAATTAAAAGTATTTTTCAGGATTTGTTATGAGTCATCTAGGCATGCCATGGACTCTTACTGAAAGTCACTATAAACCTTAATAGTTACGGATGGCGAAAATGACATGCTGTAGAAAATGAAGCTGCTTTCAAACAACACTCTTCTTTTCACTTAAGTCTATTATGCTTAAAATTCAGATAATTCTTTCTCATGTATTCTAAGAGCATAACTTCTTTTTCCATTTAATGTAAAGCCTTTTATACTTGTTTTATGAATATCAGTTGGCTTTTTGTTGACAATAAAGTGCACGCATTCTGTTTTTTTAAATTCTGAGCTCTATTTTTTTGAAAGCCAAAGTGATTATGACTGAAGTAGGATTAATGTGTGATGTGCTTTCTGGTTTTAACCATAACATACTATAAATGATTAATAATCTACTTTTGAGAATCTCTTTTTGAAACTTAACACTGTCATTGATAATATTCAAGTGGTATTTCTTAGGCACCGTAAATTTCACATCCAGTTGGGTTACAAACCATATCTTAAGAACTTTGAGATCAATTTAAATCATTAATAAAGGAACATTCCCTTTTAGAGAGCATTCAAAAAGCAAAGGATTACATTTTTTATTAAATAATTTCTTTAAAATACTGAAAATAACAAACAACATTCAAAAGCATTCAAAGAAAACATAAACATGTTCCTCATTCTACTTAGAAATGAACTCTTGTTGTAGGGTAGAAAGGAATTAGTGTATTATTGGTATCCTAGAGATTTTGCCCTATTTACATATTGCTGGTACCTCTGTGCATATTATTGCCAAACTTCTAAAGCCTCTGGTTTTATTAACCTGTTGGAGAGGCTGTATGTGAAAGTAACCCTGTTATTTAGATGGTGCCTGTTAAGTATGTAAGCACCACCTTTCTGTCCCGTGCTTACATACTTCAGTGCGAAGAGATTTAGTAAACCAAACCTGCCCTGACAGTCTCACTGTTGGAATGAGAAGGGTGGTCAGAATGGGAGGCCAAGGATTACTTCCCTCTGTGATCTGATTGGGTCAGAGCCTCACCCACCTTCACTTGAACATGGGGCCAGTTTTCATCTCCTTCCCCTAGATCAAATCTGTTTGGTGTCTGAGACCACTGCTGCCTGTATGAATGCTTGTACACACTATAAATCATATAGGTTATCCATCAACATTTCTTTGACCCCTACAAAAAATATATAACATGTCGTGATAAAACAATCTCATCTAAAAATCACTCTTATTTTACACTATACAAGCTATTGTACAATCATTTTAATAAATTGCATGTAAAGCTGCAGTAGCCCTTCCCTTCCCAGATTAGTGAATACCAATATGATATATATCTGAAACTATAACTAAATATAAAAATATATTAGAAGTTTCATATTTTTAATATTAGATTTTCAGTTTTCTATTACACAAATAATTTGGCCACCTTGAATAGAAATCAGATTTCTTGTGGCTTAGTAAATATGTTGTTTTGAATTTACATAAAGTTGGTAAGGTGCACACAGAAAGGGCTACTACAGCTTCTGTTTTGTTTAAAATGACAATTCTCAACAGTGAAGAAATTCACAAGACTTGTGTTAAATTCTATGGCACACGTAGGGATGTGAAATTATACAAACGTTGATAATCTGACATTCAGTTCTAAATCACAAAAATCAGTAGCTGAGCTTTCCTGTATTACCAGGAAAGTTAGACCAATTGGTGACAGATGGGAATGTGAAAATGGGTATCTAGCCACTTTTGCCATACTGGAGATTAAGTTTTTGGGTAAAGTTTAATGAGAGAAAATTACTTGGTCTGATTAAAAATCTCTTAGCTGTGTTACAACTGTTATCTGGAATTATAACTTTTAAGAAGTTATTCAAACTACTACAAAAGGTCCCGAAAAAGAATTAGATTATCAATCTTCTTGCCACCTAACCATTGCAGAGATAGGGCATAAGGTACAAAGAGGGCCTCTTGGTAGTTATTACTTTTTAAAATTAGTCTTTTGCAGCCATCATCCACAGTTTACCCAGTAGGTCACTGGACTTAGGTGCTCTATACCAGTTAGGACGGTTAATTTTCACAACCTATATAGTTCTCCACTGAAGCAGATATATACAAAATATGAGCTTTTTTTGACAAGAATACTGGAGATTTGAGTCAATTTTTGTGGTCTTCTGATAGCTAAGTGCCATCAGGTTAGAAGCACCAACCCATTTTCACACAGAAGATTAATGTTTAGAGTTTATTTAGGAAAGCTATGAACTAGCTGCCCATCTTAAACAGCTGTACAATAACTTGAATACAAAAATTATGTAAGAAAAAAATGAGCAAGCATAGTTTACTGAATATAAAGGAAATTGTTAAAACTAGACAGTAATAGCTATAAAAGGCACAACTTCCCTTTTCTGATATACACTTGTAAACTTTTTTTCAGGTTTCCATGCATAAATCAAAAATGCTATCCTAACTATACATGGGGAAATACATCAACAAAAAGTCTAGAAATTTATCCAGCCAACTGAAAAGTATGAGCATGAAGTTCATCACAGGGACTTTGGGCACTGGTGGTTTAGGTGCCATCCTTTCCTGACAGTAGAGATTGCCCTTACATTATTGTTTCTAATTTCTGGGATATACCACCTGGTAAGTTTGACTGTCTACTTTCCCGTCACTTAAAAAGTGATGACTCAACTGCTTCTGTTGCCAAGTCTTGGCCCTCTATAAACCACATGTAGTGCGTATTTATAAGGAAAAAAAGAAAACCGACAAAACCAAAAAAACAAAAATGAAAAAAACAACAAAACATCTACAGATCAGATTGGTAATTTGTACAAGAAAAGCTATAAATTCAACTTTCTTTAAGGCAACCTTTCTTAGTAAGGCAGTCACTTTTGATGAAAGAGAAGTTTTTTTACATTTCCATTTGAATATTTTGGTATCTGATTGGTGATGATTTCAGCTAACATCTCTGGGAATTCAATATTCATGGTCTTATCCAAAAATGTTTGGAAGCAATAGTTCAGGAGATTTTCAGCCACCTGAAAGAAAATAATGATTAGGCTTTAAAAGTGAACATTTCACACTCACTGGTCTTTTTTTATTTTTTAATATCTGACCCGAAGTATATGAATCTCTATTGGAATTCTACAGGTGAAAAGAAGTTTAGTGAAGTAAAATAAATATTTAAGTACTAAAGGCTTTTTAAATCCCTTAAATTATATGTAGAATTATATGGAATTAAGTATTTTATGATGAACTGCAGTATCATAAATATATAGAAGTCATATTTTCCTAATTTAATAGCTCATTCATATAAAAACGGAATTTCACCTTTTAAAACAGTGCTGTTAAAGTTTGTTACAGCATGGTGATTTTTTTTAATATAAGATTAAAATAACATTTCATAATTGGACTTAGGTAAAAAGTATGCAAAATCAAAGTTCACAAATTGAACTCAAAACATCACCAAAATCTACAAACTGGGGTTGAAGTGGATTAATGTGTAAAACTATATACATTAATCAAACATACTTATGTTCCACAGAATTATTGTTATAGTTGACTTTATTGTTTGATACTTACTTCATGCATGGAGTCCAAAAGTTTTGTCAGTTGATAAAACCGTTGCCAGTTCTGACTGGAGTTTCCTTCCCTTTTGACAATGGCTTTTCCTAGCTCTTTGATGTAGGTCATTCTGATTTCATCAAACAGTTCTTGGCTCTTCAAACCTTCTTTAGGAACTAAAAAGTTAAGATGCAGTTAATTCAAGAATTTCCTTGATATAACTTTTCATATACCAAACTGGACATTTAACATCATGGTTTGCATTTTCTAAATGCATTCTAAAATGGATGCATTTTCCAAGGATTAAGAGACTCTAACCAAGATAGAATATATGATTAGAGAATTGGAGGTCTTAACCTTAGGTTTCTAACTTACAAAATGGGGGTCATCAAATACTGTTTTGGGGGTCATCAAATATCGTTTTGATGACAAAATAATACAGTGACCAGTTAACTTTGGCTGTCCTGCACAAAATTCTGGTTTTGCGATAGATGGCTTCAATAATGGTTATTCTTTAACTGATTTATTCCACCAGTTATATCTTAGAACATCTGCAATATTACCAGCTAATTAGAACTTAAAAATTAGATTATATTTTTCAGTATCTAAGCATTCTGAGTTGATAAAAAAGAAAATGATTTTTATTGTAGCCTATAGATAAGTCTTAGTAGGGAGCAGGTTATCTGCCTTTCTTTATGTACTTAAAACATGGAATCTGGATTGTAAAATTGGAATAAAAATAATTTGTAGTATATTAATCTTCAAAAATTAGTGCTAGTAAGGACAATAAACAGAGGACTAGTCATGGTCACAACTCACAGAAAGATGTTTATAAACTGTTTTATTTTTCAACTTATGTGCTCCTAGGATCACTGGTTCTGTGTTAACAATTGCTAGGGAGAAATATAGGATTTGGTGGCAGAAATTTAAGAAAAGCTGAATGTTGAATATAAAGGAAGATTTCTGAATTTTAGGAATTCTTGGAAATATTATGTACTCTTCATACTTCTGTTTAAGTACTGTGTTGTCAGTGATTGTGGTCATGCCATAAGGGCAGAGCTGAACAGCTGTGACAGACTGCAAAGCTGAAAATGTTTACCAACTTGCCCTTTAAAGTTTGACATCTCTTGCACTATACATAGAGTATATTCTTTCACTTCAGCCTTTATGTTTATTTACATATTGCTATAAATATCATAAAGTTGGATTATTTTAAAAATTCAGTCTTTCAGTTAAGCTTGGAGCATTTAGTCCATTTCTACAAATAATGAAATTATTGATACATTTATATTTATTTGCATTACCTTATGATGTGCTTTTTTTCTCCTATCTTTCATTCTTTTGTTTTTTGTTACCCCATTCCTCTTTTGCCCATAATGGTTTGGTAATCTGCATATTCTAGTTGTCCTTCTTGAAATTTAAACACTCATTTCTTAACTTATGAAATTACTCTTTGAGCTTATATGAAGTTATTGTGTATTTTAGTTCCATTTTTAACACCTAAAGATTTTACATTAGTTATTTTGTTTAAAAATAAATAAATGTTCTGAAAAATAATTTTTAAAAAAGAACACTGATGTATTTAGACCGTTTAAATTTAAAGTGATAATATAGCTGGATTAACATCTATGATGTTGGTAACTGTTCTAGTCATAATACTTTTTTTTTGTTTTCCTTTTTATCTTGTCTTTTTTTCTACCTTGTTTTCATTGAGCATTTCATGCTTTTATTTACTCTTCTCTCTTAGCATATCAACTATTACTCCTTTTGTTTTTAGTGGTTTTCCTAGAGTTTGCAATATGTATTTACAATAAAACTTATGTCCCTTTTTTCAATCTATACCACTTTATAGATTGTAATGCAGGTACATCTTTTTGGGGGTGGGGAGTACCGGGATTGCATTCAGGAGCACTCACCAGAGCCACATTCCTCAGCCCTATTTTGTATTTTATTTAGAGATAGAATCTTGCTGAATTGCTTAGCACCACCCTGTTGCTTTGAATTTGTGATCCTCCTGTCTCAGCCTCCTGAGCTGCTGGGATTACAGGTATGTTCCACCACGCCCGGTGCAATGAAGGTACCTCTTAACAGAGGGTTCCCGATTCTCTTTCCTAATCCACATAACTCTGCTGTTGTTCATTTCACTTATCCATCTGCTTCAGTCATCCAGTACATTATTATTACTTTGAAGTTACCAACTAAGAAAAAAAATGTTATTTTACCTTCATTTATTCTTTGTCTCATGCTCTTCCTTCCCTATGTAAATCCATGTTCCTGACATTTTTCCTTTCTTCTTAGGAATGGCTTTTGACACTTTATGTAAAATAGGTGAATAATTCCTTTGATTTTTGTCTGAGAAAGTCTTTATTTCTTATTTGCTTCTGATGGTTAATTTTGCTGGATACCTTGTACTAGGTTGGGAGTTTTTTTTGTGTTTTAAAGCACTTTAATTTTTTTATTTAACTCTCTTTTTGCTTGTAGGCTTTCTGATGAGAAGTCTGATTTAAGTCATAAATAAGCTGATTTTTTTTCTGTTATTTCTCTGCAGTTTCAGTGTAGGATATATTAAGGCGTAAATGTGTTGCTTTTTATTTTGCTTGGTGTTCTCTGCATTTCCTGGATATATTTTGGCTTCTGTCCTTAATTTTGGAATTAATTTTGTGTTAATCTGAGTAGGAGCTGACCTGTATTTACTGTTTGTTGTAGGTGCTAGCCTTTCAGTTCCCTTGTTTTACACCCCGCCCCATCCCCCAGCTCCCTGAAGCTTCTTTTTAACTTCTTAAATAGCTTGTCCTGAAACTCTCAGTTTCAATCCACTGTTATACTGAAGCCCTGTTGATATGGTGGTTATAAGATGTTGAGGAGGGAAAAGGTTTAAAAATACTTAAAATTAAACCTCATTCTCTTCTGCAACTTGGCTTGAATGCCTGGGCTGTACCTTTCAAAAATGTTTCTTAACCTTTTTCCACCCCCCTCCCCTCCTACAAGAGAAATGAAGGCTAGAAGGGACTGGAATCCTTCATTTGCCTTTTTCTTCAGGCTCTGATAAAGTTGTTTTCTCAAAGGGTAGGCCTTGGTTATGGAGAACCCTCTCTAGATACTTCCAGATGTTTACTTTTCCTCTTCCTACTAAAAAAACAAAGGAAATTTTCTCTCATTTTAATCATGAAGAACTGGTAGAGTTTCTGAAAATAAAACCCAAGTGTTGGGAAATCCCATAAGACTACATTCCCAGGAGCTTTGAACTCTCAATTTAGTCCTCATTCAGCCTCTAGCAGTTCATCAAAATTACTGTAGTCTTCCTATCATTTTGCTAGCTCTAGTGGCTCTGTTCTTAGTAAACTGACCTTGGTTAAGAGCTGAGTTTCTAAATTTGCCTGTTTCTCCAGATCTGAGGTGGTGGTTTACCCTGTGACCTCAATTCTCTGGACCCACCCACATCCATCTATCCTTCTATCTATTTATCCATCTATCTATACATGGACTTTCAGGATGTATAACTTTGTTGCAGTTTTCTTGTATATGTAATACAAACATGTACACTTTAAAAAGTTGTATTTTGGATGATTTCTTTAGCTATATATGTTGTTCAAGAGTCTAATCTGCTTTTGACCCACCTTTTGCTTTGACAGTTTCACTTATATTTCCAATCATTGTCTTTAAATGTATTAAATGTACTAATTTACAAGGTTCTAAAAATATCCTTAAAGAGAATGCTTCAGAGTAAACCTTATCTTTTGAATTTCTATCTTTACTTAGTTCTTAAGCCCAGCATTGTAATGGAAAATTAGAATACTAGAATTAGATACCTAACAGAATAAAAGTCTGTATTATATGGTAAAGGGACCTACGATATACATAAAAAATATCAAAAAGCTCAGTGAGTTTGATATGTATAAAATTTAGACCATTACTTTTTAAAATTGCTAGTATCCAGACATTGAACTATACCTTGTATCTATCAAAATCATGCTCAGAACTTTATGTAACTGTTCACTCAGGTTGTTTCTTTAGCAAGTATACTGTTAAAGGTAACCTTCTCTAGCAATGATCTTGTAGTTTTTTTTTTTTTTTTTTTAAACATGAGGTTATGGAACATCTTCTTCCTTGGTTGAAATATTAATGTTCCTTGCAAAGATACTATGAAAGAATTTAGACTGTGTGCTTTGGAAATGGTTAGATATCATGTGCAACAAGTTTTTTTTGGCAACTATGAGTTGCCAAAAATGGAATGAAGACTTTTAATAGTAATTACATATTTGCTCATTGGTATATTAAAAAAGGTATTCAGCCATTACCTTGATGTTTTATAAACATTAACCTCATATGTGATTTTTAATGAAATGGCCTAAAGTTTATAATTCTAACTTGTTCAAAGACCTCCTTTTAAAAAAGGCTTAAGAGTTGTTTTAAGTTCATAGAAAAATTAGGTACAGAGATTTCCCATATATTCCCTGTTCTCCCCACTATCACCATCCTCCTATGAGAGGGGTATATTTGTCATGTAGTTAATGAACCTACATTGGCATATCATCACCCACAGTTTACATTTGGGTTCACTCTTGGTGTTGGGTGTTTTGTGGATTTGTGGCTTTATATTTTGTAAAATGACACGTATCCATCACTATAGTATCACACGGAGAATTTTCATTGCCTTGGAAATCTTGAGTTCTTCCTGTTCATCCCTACCTCCCTCCTAACTCCTGATTTTAATTTTTTCATAGTTTTACTTTTTACAGAATGTCACATAGTTGGAATCATACAGTATGTAGCCTTTTTACATTTGCTTTTTTAACTTAGTAATGTACATTTCAGGTTCCTCTGTCTTTTTAAGTGCTGAATAATGTTTCCAGTGACTGGATGTACCAGTTTTTTCATTCACCTAATGAAGGGCATTTTAGTCACTTGCAAGTTTTTGCAATTAGTAATAAAGCTGTATTAAATATCCATGTGGTTGTTTTTGTGTGAACATACGTTTTCAACTCCTTTGGGTAAATACTGAGGGTTGTAATTGCTAGATCATGTGGTAAGAGTTTAGTTTTGTAAGACATCACCAAACTGTCTTCCAAAATGGCTATACTATTTTGCATTCCCACTAGCAATGAATGACAGTTCTTGTTGTTCCATATTCTCTTCACCATTTGTATCTTATTGTTATTTTAATTTAATTTCCTTGAAGATAAATAATGGGTAGCAAATATTTTCATATGCTATTTGCCATATTTGTTTTCTTTATTATATCTTAATTAGATTAAGACCTTTTAATATCTATCATATCTTCTTTAGTGAGGTGCCTGTTAAGGTCCTTGGCTCATTTTTTGAATTCTTTGTATATTTTGGATACTGGTTCTTTATCTTAGATGTGGCTAGACCTTCCTTTTATTACTTATTGAAAATTGCAACATAAAGTACTAATAGACAAAATGATTTTTATTTTTTAAAGTTTTCTGGATTTATTAAACATCTTTGCTGGTTCAAAGTAATAAAAGTTTGATAAGGATGCTGACATTTAAACTTAAGTTTTTTAAAAAAATAAAGTCTAGATGCTATTTTCAAAAGACAGAGTAGTTCTGTCCAGCAATCCTGTTCCAGTCTGCAGTAATATCTTTTCTAGGATGTATCTTTTTCTTCTATAAATTAATATACTTGCTAATATTTATTTTGTATTTACAAGTAACAGTGCAATAGAGAAATGAAAGCATTGTTGGCTTTCTTTCTCCATGTCCCATATACTGATGTTATCTAAGATCAAAGGAAGGAAGAAAGCAGTCTGCAGAAATTCTGATCAACAGTGATCCCTGTGCAGCTTATATAACTATTTATTTTGTACCTATTTTGTCTTAACAGTCTCGGTATCACTGAATGTCCCTTAAGAATCTTTACATTTATGAAAATCATCTACGTAGCAGAACATAGTATAGACACCAATTCATTAAAAACCTTTGTTTCTAGATTTTCATGTTTCATGCTTTTGACATATTTAGAAGTAAATTTTAGAAGTGTATATATTTTACCAACCTGAAGAGAGAAGCAGTAAGGTTTTCATACAGAGATACTCTTCATAAGATACCTGAAGCCTTTGTAACTCAGAGGAAACATATAGCATATGTTTACATTGCTCATACATGTAGGGCAGAGTCATTCTCTGTCTGTGAGAAACAAATACGAGTGTTTGAGTGTTAGAAAGAAATAGTGCTAGTTCCAAAACAGTACTATTTCATTTGTTTTACAAAATTATAAACACATAAATGACAACATAACTCTTGCCATTAGTGCTAATTCCTTAGGAAACCAGAACTTAAAAGTTGTTTCAGGTTCTAGAGTAAAGAGACTACTGAATAAATTAATTTTACATTGGAGACATTATTTTATCATGCATTGTCATGTATTGCATTATTTACTTTAGAATTTATTAGCAGTTGCTCAGTTAAAATCAAGGATTAACACTTGAATATAGCCAGTTAGAAAACAGTTGTAGATCTTAAAAATCATAGGGTGTTTTTCACAGCATTACTTTCTAAAGACATTGTTTATAGTTAGGCAGAGACTAGACTTTCTGATACCACAAATCTTTTTAACTCACAGTATCAAATCAACTCTTGATTATGATTCTCAACAGTCACTATCACATCTATGATTTTCAAATAGATCTAAGATTTCCTGACTTTTGAAATGACACTAAGAACGTGAAGCTGTGCCTAGTTCATGACATTTAAAATACTTTAAGAAATTTTGTTTTTTACATTTCTATTAGAGAGTGATCTTGGGCTTAACAGAAAAAAATAAGGTAATTATTTCTCTCTACTGAAGATATACTTTATTTCTTTGTATAATGAAATAAATTAGACATGAATTGTATGCTGCCAAAGTGATATTTCATGGTTCTTCAAATTTAAAGCTTCTTACCAATCCCCTAATAAAGCTATTTTCCTAAGAGCTGTCTTTATTCCCTTTTACTTTCTTATTCATGGTTAGATTCCTCATATAACTGAGAATGTCAACAAAATTTTAGTAAAGGAAGTAGAAAAGGCATTCCTGTTGGCTGTGAAAAAAATGTACATATATACATACATTTCTCACAACATTATGACCTAAGAACAACCATGAAAGACTATATATATAGGGTCAGAACTTGAATGCATCCTTTCTTACATCTAAATCTGCCTGTTGGGAGACACCAGAGTTGTATGAAAATACAGTGAAGAAAAGAGAGCGAGGCCTGTCTATCTAATACATGCAGCATAAGAACACAAGAATAGTAGCTGAACAATGAGTAAAAATAATCCTTTAACAACTCGTTAAAAATCTCTGAAAAGTTCTCTTCCATATTCTACAATGAACATGAACACGAAACTAAAGTAAATTTCTTGGGAAGTAATTTCCACTTTATGTAAGGAATTGTATAGGTCTATGACTACTTAAATCCAAATTGGAATGCCCTAAAAATAAAAACTCTGAACTAGGTTACTTTAGTTTTACAAATGAAAGTGAAAATGTTGGTGTTTTATATAAATCTCTTCATGGTTTTAATTCCAATTAAATGACTTCAAACTGATTATTAGAAAGTGCCTGTAAACACTATCGGCATGATACTTTTAAAAACATGGCTGGATTCTGAACTAAGTAACAATGTTCTGAGTTTTCATAAAAGCTAAATATATTTACCAGTTAATTTAAAATTGGACCAAACAACTAATCTTCTTACACTGTGATGTGATGGTTTGAATAATCCTCTTTTTGGCAAGAAGAGTGTCAAGGTGACTTCTTTCTCTGATACCCATACTGAGAGTACGTCTGTGAAGCTGTGGTAGAGCTACTAGCTGAGGACTAAGATATGGCCCTTCTTAGAATACAAAGCAATTAGTTGAATATAGCATATGTATTTCACATGCCTAATCATGTTGCTTCTTATTATAAAGCCTGGTTCTTCTCCTTTGTGTCTTAGCCTAATCTATCTAAAATGGACTTCTCTATAGTAAAATCTCTATCACAGTCAAATTCTGAAATTATTCTATGTATTTGATGGTTATCTTTGTCTCTTGCACTAACATAAATAACTGAAGATCAATCTTATTTTCTTGTTCTTTGCTGTAGTCACAAACTAGGTACCTTATTAGGAATATGAATATTTGTTGTTCCCCTCAAATCCATTCTGGCTGTTGCTTGGTCCTAGAATAAAACCTAAACTCTATTTTAAGACCTACAAGATTTTCGTCACTGTTCACTTCTCTAAACTCATACCTTATACTTAGTGTCCTCTCAGTTTCTCATGCCTGTCAAGCTTGTTTCAAGGTTCTTTGCGGGCTTGAATGCCCTCTGCTCTAATATCTTCCCTGTCTCCTACCTTCTTCTCACACTATGGAATCATGGCTCTGGAATAAATTTGGATATTTATTTGAATTCCCATATCAGAATGTTATTAGCAGGATTCTCATCTATTTTATTCACTATTATATCCACCATTCCCCTAATAGTGCTGGAACTTGATAAATACTCAAATACCATTGGATGAATCAGTGCTGGAAAATAAAGTATTAACTTAAAGAATTTGGCTATAATTTTTGGCCTAGTTTCTATGCAGCTATCCTAGTAGCAGAGAAACCTGAAATCTCACTGTATATAATTTTCATTTATCCTGTGAGGCATAAGGCTTTAGATTTACCTAGTAGTAGTATAAGGAAGAGGTGTCATAGATCTAGGGTTACCCTATTATCTCTGGCTTCTAGCACTGTGCCTAAGAATCTCTTATTAAAATGATCTGGGGATCAGATCACCTAGTTTCTACTAAAACATTTAAAATAGATGCTTTTCTTTCATTCCTATCTATTATTTTTGTACCTGGCAAACCCAACAGTGAATACTTATTATATTTTCATATACATATCTCTCTAAGCTGTCCTCCATGCTCTCAAGTCTCCTTTCTTCTTCCCTGTAAACATCTCATATTCATTCCATGTTATGCAATCAAACTCCTTGCCACTCTGGACATATTCTTAATATGTCAGTTCTCAAACAATTAATGATGGATTTTCTCAAATAGAGCACAGTGGGACTAATTACTATACTAATGTGGTTTAAGATTTCATAATTTGGGGGAAGAAGTCTTAACAGCATCCATAGTTCACAATAAAACTCTCATCTTTTTTCACATAAACTCCATTTTAATCTTATCAGACTGTGTGTGTGTGTGTGTGTGTGTGTGTGTGTGTGTGTGGTGTGTGTGTAGGAACTCCTCATTTACATTCTGATAAAGGAGATAAACTATGGGCACAAAAAGTAGCAATACAAAGTAGAAAGTGAGACAGAGGAGATGTGTAAGAGAGAGGTCATATTTAGTGATAAAACACCATGAGCTGATGGTATGTTTAAAATGTGGATTAGCTGACTGGAAACAGAATGTGTGAAAAACAATGGGAAAGAAAGTGAGGCCAAGTTCTCGAAAACTTGAAACCATATAGAGTATGCATTGGATTATCAGTAAGGTGGTATTGAAAATGTCTGTATATTGGAATATATATGATGTGATCAGAACTGTGCTTAAGGAAGAAAACAGTCAACACAATGAAGGATACACTGCAGTAGGGAAACTAATGAGGAAAAAACAGCAGTTAAGTAAAGGGGAATATATATCTGAAGTATTTCACAAATACAGACCCTCAGGATAAGAAAATAGTTGATTAAAAAATCTTAAGGCTTGACTGGTCCTCCCTTAGTAAACACCTAAGACAAAAACCCAGTAACTTGTTCCTGTTTTCTTTTTAAGCCATAGTCATTGAGTGAGTCTTGCTGTCAAAAGAGACCTCTTGTGTCTGGGTTCATACCTCACATCCTTCAGCCAGAGATGTCCTCACCTTTTACTTGTCCCCTACTGAATTCACATGAGTTTCCCCATGTTTCTTTTCTTCTCTGGAGTAGGGATATGTAATTAAAGCAATACAGAAATAATGCCACATGCACGTTTTTTCCTACTTTATGCTTGATGTGCTGCAGGCAATGATAAACAACTCTACTTCAAGTTTTCCCAGTTCCTAGATACCTGGTAGGACTGATTCTCTCCTGAATTATTACAATAGCAGTTCATAGGAAAATATCATCTGGTTAAAAATAGACTGAATGAATACAGGGGAAATGACTCATATACAACTTACTCATTAATAATCAGATCAGGAGCAAAACATAGCACGTTTCCATTTGATTGTCTGTATGATCTCCACCCCAGGGCAAATGCCATGAGAAACATCCATGAGTACTGCAGGAGGATCATTTGGTCATCCAGGTGTAAGTTCCTGAATCCTGGATTAAGAGAAATAAAGATATTAGGCAACAGTCTAGTTGCCAAAAAAAGATCATGTCTCCAGGAACTGCCTAAGAGCAATTAAGTCAAGTAGTCTTGTTTAGGTCAGACCCTTAACAGATAAACGATATGAAAGCTAAGTGTATACAGCTAGCTTTTATCATCATTAAAATCCAAGCCCTGAGAACTAACTTTCTTTCTTTCTTTCTTTTTTTTTTTTTTTTGTACAGGGGCACTTAACCACTGAGCCACATCCCCAGCCCTTTTTTGTATTTTATTTAGAGAAATGGTCTCATGGAGTTGCTTAAGTCCTCGCTAAGTTGCTGAGGCTGACTTTGAACTTGTAATCCTCCTGCCTCAACCTCCCAAATGGTTAGGATTACAGGCATGTGCCACTGCACCTGGCCCTAGAACTTTTTAATGGAATTCTATGTAAGAAAACTTCCAGATAGCTCATTTATGTCACGTTTTGCATATTTTAAATAACACGAATTAAACTATGAAACAGAAAGCTAAAGAGTCCTGGCATCAAATATTAATCAATGGGTTTAATTAAATTTTTTTCCAATTTTCACATTTCTTTCTCCCTTGATATAACAGGGATGATAGGAGGTTAAGTTAGTCATCTTTCTTCTATTGTGTGACCAACATATGGTCAATTCCTCTCTATCTGTAAAGTCAGGGTTGACACTAACATTGACTTCTCCTGTTCCATGCAAAGTTCTAACAGGGAAAAATTTTTTTAAAGGGAAACTTTTAAAATTATCTTAAACATTAGATTTATATTCAATTAGTTAATTTCATTTAGTGAAGTTAAAATCATTTTGTTTTGGTACATTTTGACAAAGTCAACACATCTGATAATTACAAACATTACAAATAACCTGAAGGGAAATAAATGAAATTCTTAGAAATAGTATACATTTTCTTCCATTAGACATAAGTGTAAAAAGAATTTTGAGTAGGTCCTGTAGCTCTAGTTCTGATATTATACCATCCTACCTAAAATTGTGCTCTGGGTTAAGATCTGAAAAGCTGGAAACAGTATGAAAGTTTTATTGTGGATACCCTACTTGCTCATCTGCTTTTTAGTCCTTAGAACTGAGTAGGAGCAATAAGATATGCCATGAGATCAAGGAGGAAGGACAAGAAAGAGCCAGAGTTGTTTTGTTCAAGAAAATAAAGATTTACACTGTAGTTCTGTCATTCTTTGCACCTTACCTGGTATTGCCTTTGCCCACTTCACTGCTGCAATCACTTGGCGCCCACCTAACATGTTGAGTGTGGTCATGATCCTCCAAGTCGTATCTGGAATAGAGCTATCATATCCTGCATATAATACCTCAGGTTCAATGACTTCGAGCAATGACACCAGGGTAGGTGTGAGTTGTGGTAATGCTGCAGGAACTATTGTTTTGTTAGCAGGATTTTCAGAAGTGTCTTGTGAGACTCCTGTAGTGGCTTGCTGAATTCCTTTTATTTTTTTCTTTGTTTTTCGAGCTGTGAGTATTGAACAAAAAATGAATTATAGGGAGATATGGGCTGCAAAGGTTTTTTAGAGGTATCTTCAATTTCTGAAACTATTAAGACTGAAAGAGGAGAAATAATTTATTCAGCATTTATGAAAAAATGACATAGGAGAAAAAAATTTTTTTTTCCTAGAAGGATCCAGTTACCCACCCATTCCCATATCAATTTTCCCTATAAGTAAGCTAGTGACATTTTGTATAACTTTAATGAATAAATCTTATAACATTGTTAAAACAACCTAAACAAACCACTTCTGTAGATTTTTCCGTAAATTATCTCATTTTCAAAGTTCATATAAATTATACAAGGAAAATTACTTTTATAATCAATTGAAAGAATGAACTAAATTTGTGGAAGGACCTAAGACACTGTATTTTAGGATTAACCAAAATTATAACAGTATATTTAACAAAGCCAGCTACATTGTTGTATTATTTGTAGAAAGACAGATATTTAATCTAACAATAGAAAAATTGACTTTTTCCATTTACATGATACTACTTAAGACTAAAACACATAGGAAAATTAAAAGAAAATAAGGAAGATTTATACTGATAACTCTATAAATATAAACCATCCATATCACATATATTGTTTGAAAAAGTCTAATCAAATAACAAGCATGGATTCTATAGATATTTTTAGTAAACTTATTCATACTCCTGAAGTTACTTTAATAAGATAACTAAATAAGAATTACATTCTCTTATAAAATTATGAGATAGTACTGAGGGCTCCAAGAGAGGGCAAAGAATGTAATTTATAGGAAAGAGGAAATGTAACTTGCCTCAGTTGTCAGGATGCAAAGTATTTTGCAAAGTGAAAAAAATAAATGCAAATTAAAATAATTACTAGGTCCTCTGTCCTTAAAATGACCAAACACATGGTTTATGGAAGACAAGATACTGTGCTAGGAACTATATCTTAATGTCCAATGTTAGAAAAGGAAAAAAAAAGTCTGTTATGTACAATGAACAATGTTATGTGGGCACTGAGAGAGTTAAGAATTTTTAGTTAACATATCAAAACAGAGAAGCAGGATCATTCTATTCTAATTTAGTTTGCCAGGCTCTTGGAGGTGCTGTATGGTATAGTAATAAAGAGTACAAATATGAAACCAGAATGTTGGACTTAAATCCTGGTTCTGCCATTTTGTAGCTGGGTATTCTGTACAAGTTACTCCCTAGTCTTTATTAACCTCATTTTGCAGGAGAGGAAACTATTAGCCCCTACCTCACAAACCTTACAAATTTGTAGTAAGAACTAATTCAGTAAAAATATGTAAAATATGTTCCTAGGTTCCATAAGAGACACCTTATTACCTCAATTTGTAGGAGAATGTTTTTAATTCTTTTTGAGAGAGAGAGATTTCTTTAATATTTATTTTTTTAGTTTTCGGTGGACACAACATCTTTATTTTTATGTGGTGCTGAGGATAGAACCCAGTGCCCCATGCATGCCAGGCCAGCATGTTACTGCTTGAGCCACATCCCCAGCCCCTGTTTTTAATTCTTTACATTCAGATAGTATAACTCTATAAAAGAATGATGCAAATTTTAAAAAAGAAGAGCTCCTGTATGTAAGAAAACCCTTTAAATAACCAAAAGCATTTCACAGAAACTGAGATCCAAAACTATAGAATGTAATTTGTTGACGATTTTGAGAGAATATGGATGTCCCAAATCAATATGCTGAAATAATCCTGGTAAATGTCTCAATTAACCATAACTTCAAGTGGTTTAGGATGCATATTTCTGCCCTCTACATCAGAACAAAGAAGAAAGGATAATGACAAACTGAAGGATTTTTAAAAATCATTTTCTATGATTCACAATATAATTGGTTTCATTTCTGACTACTTATCTATAGTCCTAAGTGAGAACTGATGTTTTTTAATAAAGCTCAAAAAGTTCTAGGGACCTAAGTTACATTGAATTGACTAAAGCAAGAAGTAATACTAATATATTTTCAAGATATTTTCAGCAAAGAGTTAATTAAACAATTTAGTTAAGCAATCACTAATTTTAAGGAATTTCATTAATGAAAGTTTATCCAAGCTTCTGACCTTTTGGAACATATAGTAGAGCAGCAGTTAACAATATATAATCTCTATATAAAAATGTTTGTGAGTCTGTGATAAGGCTACTTTCTCTTTAATAAAGGTAAAGAAATCTTAATACTTAAATATTAGGTAAAAAAAATCTTATAATGCCATAAGCCTATTTTCTGTAAGTTCCTTTTGACTGTTTATATAAAAAATAAATCCATACTTTGGAATGATTACAATCTTAAAATGAAATGTGCATAAGACATTTAGGATCGCCATTTTAAAAACTTACGTATATTTAAATGCCAGAAATTTCAAGCAGTGAAGAAGTTTGCCTTAAAATAAATCTTGAGATTTACTTGGTATGGGACAACAGTAATCAAATATGCCACTTGAAATAGTACTATGTTACATTTATGGAGAGAACTGGGCTGAGAGAGAGCTAAGTGCTTATGTCAAGTTACTCTGGGGCCTATCATTAAAATTGCTTGGCTGAAGGAAGCACTGTGGTGAACAAGAGACTATTTCTAAAGACTGAAAACGTGTGAAATACCTGACTTGATCTGTTTTGTTCTTAAGTATTATAGTCTGCCAAACATTACTGACATACACATGTACTTATCTGAATAGATGATTTGTGTATATTGGGGTTACTTGAAAACAAAAATGAGGCTTTCCCACTAAAATCACACATGGATAAACCCCGGTAACATTTATTTTTTTAAGCTTTTCTTTCATTTTGTCTACAAATAGAATCAGAATACCAACCACATGTGCCAGCTAATATCTAGTATGTTATAAAATGACCAACTAGAACTTTGTTTTACCATGTATTACATAAAAATGGATATAAGATTTATCCTAGACATGAGGTTCTCCTTTGAGTAGAGGAAGGCACATGAAAGAAGTTGACAAAGGTAAATTTCTCTCCACTCAGATCTTACATTAACCATTTATAAAATCATACTATTGGTTGGTTGCTAATATAGTATTGAGAAAATGCTGTTCAGATTGAATTATATGCTTAAATTTTATTCATTCAAGAAAAAAAATTCTGCCAGTTTTTCAACAACAGACTGACTGGAAATGGCTGTAATGGTATTTTTATGATAGTCACTGTCTTGGTTGTCTTCTTGTTAGGTTAAGAGCAAAGGACACTATAAAATTATTACTTAGCTGTTTGTAAAAGGAAGGAGCAATAGGATAAATGTGACACCTCCTATTATACTCTTATCAGTATCATTACTTTATATCTTATTTCTTTTGAATAAAGAATTTCTTTATACTCAGGATATGGGAGAAATTCCTGAGGGAAGCATTATATGCTTAAAACTTGAGATATCTAAACTTGACATGCATTCAGGAGAGTACCTAAAAATGTTACTGAGTAAGCAACCGTTGTTCTCATGTTAGTGATATGATAGAAATGATAGAATTTTATTTGGGTTTGTTTGTCCTTTAAGCTTTTATTTTTATACATAAAATAGCTGGATGAAAACATTTAGGTCATTGCTAAAAACCAAACTTGTAAGTGCATATTTATTTATTTATTTATTTAGAGAGAGAGAGAAAATTTTAATATTTATTTTTTAGTTTTCGGTGGACACAACATCTTTGTTTGTATGTGGTGCTGAGGATCGAACCCGGGCTGCACGCATGCCAGGCGAGCGCGCTACCGCTTGAGCCACATCCCCAGCCTTTTTTTTTTTTTTTTTAAAGAGAGAGGTAAGTGTATATTTAAATGGTCCAAGTATACTATCTACTTAGTAGATTAGAGTGTAGCGAAATGAAACTGGGTAAAATCTGGCAAGAGCTCTAGTATCTAAAATCTGGCCAGAGATTTGGTATCAAAAAAAGTAATAACTTGTTTTTATAATAAAAATAAACTATACTTGTGACACTGAAAGTAAACTTTTACATTTTATTTAAAGCAATGTTTAATTTGACATTAGCACTCTGCAGTCAAGTTTAAACAACCTGGTCACACTTAGCTTTGTGTGTGGTGTAGGGAATTAGACTCTCTATATTTGTTAACATATAGTGTGTGTCTTATCCAAAAATCACTTCTTATCTGGATTAACAGTATAGTCATTTAATTGGTCTCTCAATACAAGATTATTCTTTCTAAAACAAATCTGATCATGTCTCTGCCCTTATTTTTCATTTAATTCCTACTCAACTTCTAGACTTAAAAATTCAATGTTATTTCTTCAGGACACTTTCAAGGACAGAATTAGTTGATCATCTTCTCCTTGCTCCTATGGTATTTTGTGGTATGCCATGCTATTCTGTGATTGACTTTGAAACTTAAATAATTGGTAAACTTGTTGAATATAGGCACTTCTATTCATTTTATGTCTAGTGACTGCCTTGTTGGTGAATACATATAGAATGAAAGTACTACTGTCACAACAAATACCAAACAACACATGAGTTATTAGATCAACAGATTCATAGAACTTGCCATTTCAACTACAGCAAAATTCCAAACACTTTTCAGAGGAACGTTTTTTAATGATGAAATCAACGTTAATTATACAACTTAGGGTTAGCAAACCTAACTTATAGTTTGTTTCTTTACTTGAAAAACAAAAACAAAAACAAAACCCATCCAATGCCCTGAGTTTTCTTTTTTTTTCCTTGCAGAGCTGTAATAAGACAAATATTTCCAAGTAATGGTGTGTTTTTAAAAGGTAAAAGAAAAATGTACATGTAAATGTATCTAGTGTAGAAACATTTCCAACCCTAGGGAATAGCTGAGGCTTAAAAAAGGAATTAAGATATATAAAAGTAAAGTTACTTCAAGTTATGTAAGTTTCATTGTTACATAATTTCCTTTCTTAGTGTATAGCTTGGCTGTACTGAAATCAGTATATGTAACAAAAGCTAGTGAATAAATTTGATCAGAATATAATATATTCATGAAATAATTCCTGTTTTCTGGGCAATAAAATGCTAGTCAAGCGCACATATACACTGAATTCACTAAATTATTATATGTGCTTACTTAATATCTTAAGTAAAATTAGCAATTTATATTACCTTCCAGGTTCATTCCAGCTTGAAGACATTTTCGATAGCGGCATGCAGGGCAGTTTTTTCTTCGAATTTTATCAATGATACAATCATTTCTTCCAGCACAAAGATAATTGTGCTGTCCTGTATAGAATAAAAGACACTGTTGAAATTCCACAGGTCTTAAAGGATATTTTTATGAGAGCCTTTTTCCATTTTTGTTTTGGGTAGAAAATGGCCAAGATCCAAAGCCATTGATTAAGAAGATAACTGTATTTGTCTACACTGATATAACTTGCTAAATTGAGAGGACAACTAAAAAAAAAAAAAGAAAAGAAAAGAAAAAAAGATCTTATTCAACAAATTGAAAGTACACATTCAGTACACATATGTAAAAATGCACAAAACTGAAGTGTGCTACTAAACTGAGGTATACCTCCATGTAATTAGCTCTGAGTTTGAAAAGCAGAACTGTACCCCACACATTGTCTTCATACCCAAGTCTAATCACTGTTCACCAGAGGCAAGCATTTTTTTCTTGACAAATTGTGCTTTATATAGTATTTTTAACAGTCAGTTACAGAAGATGTCTGTAATCACTATCTTATTATGACTTCTGACCTAATGTTGAAGAAAAAACTGGTCTAAAACATACTATGGGAGTCACAAAAAGAAAATGACTTGAATTCAACATTAAACCACCATGTGCAAATAAAATGTTTCCCCCTTCCCAATTTAAAACAAAGTGAAGTTAACAGCAAGTTTACTCTTGAATGTTAAACTTGCCAGCAACTGATTAGATGAATCACAGATTTGACAAACTATCTACCATAGACAGTCTTTACAGAGATCATTGTTTCATACTTATAGAAATAAAGATGCTTGAATTCACCTTTGACTTTAAGAATGTTATCAAATAAATCTTCTGGCATTCAGTGTTGAGTAATATGTTAAGAATTGTGGCTGGACAATACTTGCCTATAATCCCACAGGCTTGAGAGACTTAGGCAGGAGGATCACAAGTTCAAAGCCAGCCTCAGCAACTTAGTGAGGTCCTAAGCGACTTAACAAGACCCTATCTCAAAATAAAAAAAATAAAAATAAAAAAGGGCTATGGATGTGGCTCAGTGGTTAAATGTTCCTGGATTCAATCCCTGGTAGTACAAAATGAAAATAAAACAAAACAAAAAAGAATTGTAGTAGTTTTCTTGGCAAAAATGTTCAAGGAAAATTTAAAATATTTTATGTCTCTCCCCAGCCCCTAATTAAATATTCTTGTAATATTCTTTTAATGTGGTTATTAAATGTTGAAGCAAACCAAGGGAGGTTCTGCTGGCCCAGTAAGTTATTCTACACAAGACCAGCATATTTACACAGATGTAACTTAAGATGTCATGTATCTTATGGGGGGGGTGGTCTTTATAATACTCTGTAGGGATAGTTCTCAAGAATTTATCATACTCAAAGGAAAGTGAATTAAGTAATGATCAATTCACTAGGTTGAATATACCTAAATCCTGGTTTCCAGGAAAAGATCTTTTATGCCTAGGACAACCTGAGACTTGATTAGAATTTAAAAACAACAGCAACAACAACAACAAAACCCCTCAACATTTATTTCTTCCTAATAAGATATTTAATTCCTGCTCTTTAAGAACTAGTTTTAGATATCTGCCTTAAAATCCTTTTAAACAATAGGCTACAAAGTTGAGTAATGGACAATAAGTACTACGAATTTTTTTATTCTAAAGCTGCTCTCCAATGCCAAATGTTTTTGCTGGCTCTTTCAATTCCTTTCTGTATTCGATAACTTTCCTATATTCTTTATTGGGTTAGTGAGAAGCATTAATCCAATAATTCTATCTTCTAAAGAGCAAAAGTAAGAACAACAAATACATAACTGAAGCATTTATGAAGTTTTACCCCCATTAAAAATATCCCTAAATTATTCTGAAGTAACTGGAAAAAACCATAGAAAAAATTACTCACTGCTAAATGCAAGAAATTTAAATGTTTTCTTTATATCCAGTTGAAATATCAGAAGATATAATTTATGCTAATAATGATTTCCTTTCCTTTTCTTTCCTTCTTTTTTCTTTTGGTGGCGTTGGGGATTAGACTGATTATACATGCTAGACAAGAGCTCTACCAAGCTACACCTCCATCCCTTTTTATTTTTGAGACAGTTTGTCATTAAGTTTCTCAGGTTGGTCTTAAACTTATGGTCTTTCTGTCTCAGCCATTCAAGTAGCTGAGATTAAAGGTGTGTACCACTGAGCCTGGTTATTAATATTGATTTTTTGAAAAATATTTTTTAAAAATTGTTGATATTTTTATTTATTTATTAATATGTGGCACTGAGAATTGAATCCAGTGCCTCACACATGCCAGGCAAGTGTGGTACTGCTGAGCCCCAGCCCCAGCCCCATACTGACTAATTTCTTTATCCTATCTGTTTTGGGCATAACTAAGAATCTTAGAAAAGTACAATTCCCCTGATGAATTTGGGCAAGTCTGTTCCTTACCTATAAAACAAAGTTCAAATAGTGTTCACTATTTCACAAGCTATATAAGACTAAGAGTCATTTTCTGTCAATCCCTTTAAGACAATGAGGTATCTCCTTTTGGAGTTCTTTGTTTTCTACCACTTGGCAAATCCCTTAAGATGTAAAGTGAAAAGCCTTTAGGTCATCTGAGATTTCTTAACATTGTTGTTTATGTGATTCTTATTTTTACGGTTAAAATCTATTTTTGGCAAGTGATTCTGATTTTCCATTTATGGTAGGTGTTGTAGCCAGTCTCTAAGATGGCCCTCAGTGATCTCTATTTCTTGGTATTCATATTCTGTGTCGTCCCTTCTTATGGTAGAGGATTGGCCTCTGTGACCAATGTCTAATAATTCATTCTAGTGGAAGTCAGCTGCTATGTTAGAGAGCAGCCCTAGAGAAGGCTACCTCATATGTAAAGGAGCTGAAGTTTCCTGTCAAAACCCATGTAAATGTGTTTGGAAGTGGATCCTTTAGCTTCAGACAAGCTTTCAGATGATTGTAGCCCCCACCAATAGCTTGAATGTAACTCAGAGTTCTGGGACCACCCAGTTATGCTTACAGATTCCTAGAGTTTGTGTGACATAGAAAACGTTGCTATAAGCTATTAACTTTAAGGATTATTTTTTATGAGCAATAGATTACTAATACAGCAGGAATGATAAATTATTCATTTTATAAACAACAAACAAGTTTTTTTTAAAGTTTTTTTTAAAGGTAACCAAAAAGAAGAGTGATGATGACATGAACAAGATCATCAAAATGGTAGAGGAAATGGGAAACACAGCAAAGGGCATATTGAACATGCAGGTTGTATATGCCCTGTTTGAAGTATTTGAGGATTAGAGGAATATTGTTGAAAGTATACTGATAGGGTGCCAAGGAGCTGTTTATCCCCATCCTGGTACTGTTTGCTAGCTGTGTGATTTCAGTAACATTTACTAACTTTTCAGAGTTTTGTCCCTCATATGTAAAATTGGAAAATTAGTACCTCCCTTGCTGGGCTTCAGTGAGGGTTAGAGGTAACTATGTAGATTATTCTTAGAGCCTAGCACATTGTGAGCACTCATCTAGTTAATGTCTAACTACATTGTAAACTGCCAGATGAAGAGTTTATCCTGTACAGTTTAGAGGGTCATTGTACTATTGAGGATAAGACATTGTTTGGAGACATCTATTTAATCCCACTTTTGTCACATCAATTTAATCACACTTTTGTCACTTAAACTCACAAATTCAGATGATAGCAGGATCTAAGAACTCACAGAGCCATTAATAAAATGATATATTTGTAACATATTACTTACTTGACACATAGGTATCACTAACTCTTAACTTACTATACCACCTTTATGACCTACTAACAAAGATTACATGCACTTCTGGGCAAAGGAAGTATAAGAAAAAGGGCCTTGGGAGGAAAAAGATCTTGGATCTAGTATGCATAAAAAGAAATGGGGCTACTTTTTTCTTTTTTATGTACAGAAAAGCAGTTCCCTTAATACTAAAAAACAAACAAACAAAAAAGACAAAATATCTATCCTTGATCTGAGTTGCATGAAAAATAAATATGTAAAACTTCTCTGCAGATTTCCTAATAGTTAAATGGGTATTAATTATACCTCACCAATTTTAGGAAAAAACCTATAGTTTCTAGCAGGTATTAAAAATGGAGTGCTAAATGTATGATGCTAATCATATAAAACTATATGTTTATAATTAAGAAATCCCACCAAATTATATATCTCAGCTTTATTTATTTATTGGTACCAGGGATTGAACCCAAGGGTGCTTAAACATTGAGCCACATCCCCAGCCCTTTTTATATTTTATTAGAGACAGGGTCTCCCTGTGTTGCTTAGGGCCTCACTAAGTTGCTGAGGCTAGCCTCAAACTCGTGATCCTCCTGCGTTGCTGGGATTTCAAGCATGCTCCACACATGAAACTATCTCAGCTTTAAAGCATATTTTCAGGGGCTGGGGATGTGGCTCAAGTCGTAGCGCGCTCGCCTGGCATGCGTGCGGCCTGGGTTCGATCCTCAGCACCACATATAAACAAAGATGTTGTGTCCACCAAAAACTAGAAAATAAATAGTTAAAAAAAAGCATATTTTCATTGTGTCTTGATAGGATAAAGAGAAGAATGCTATGAGGGTATCAGATTATTACAGAATTTTAGTGCTGGAAAGGGTTTTCAAGAATGTTATTAAAATCCAAATAAAGGATTAATATAAATAAAGGAGGAAAACAGAGCAACTTTTACCTAAAAATAAGTATTAAGAATTTAATTTTAAAGTAAGGATTAAGTACAGAGGGCATATGGCCTGCCATGGTGTTGATTTGGGACGTTGGCAAGCTTTGTTTTCTGAGTTTATTGCATTTCGATGGTTATAGGCGAGGCACCTGTGCCCTCTCTAATATATCAGTCCTGCCCTCCTTCCCACAAATATATTTGGCCAGAGTGACACACAGTCCCTGTAGGCATTTGAAATTTGTAGCCCTTTTTTAAAGAATAGTAAGTGAAAAATATTTTTTAATGCTATTAATGTACTATTTTAATGCTCAGTGTACTATTGAGGATAAGACATTGTTTGGAGACATCTCTGTTTAATCCCAGTTTTTAAGGCCCCATTGCCTCATTCTGAATTTCACTTCTGAAAATCATTTTGTTAATTTTATACACAGCATTATTAATAACATCGATGACTTTATATCATAGAAATATTTTATACTTGAGAGTGCTGTATAAAGTAACAATTTGAGATCAAGAAATACTTCCCTTTTGGGGGTATGTGTTAAATAACATTCATTGTTAAGGGCATCACACTAAGCAATGGTGGGTTTTACTTATGACTCTACTTAATAGGTGGCAGCTACTATACTGGCCAACATTTGCATCCTTCTGGTCTAGGTGGGGACATGAGCAATTTTATAGTTTGCTAATGTATTAAAAAGTAATCCAAACAAAATGACTCATGTAACTCAAGGATATGCAAACACCAATCAAATAATAATAATAATAATAATTTCTTTAAGAACTAGCATACTCAGAACTTTAGTTATTCCATTCAGGTCACACAACCTCCAGGTTGCTTTACAAACAACTAAATTATAGGATTATTAATTTTTTTTTTGAAGTGGATTCATTGGCAAAATGTTAAAAGTCCCTCTCCCTGCATACTTATGCTCCAGTGCTGGGGATTGAACCCACGGGGTGCCTTACCACTAAACTACATCCCCAGGCTTTTTTAGTTTTTATTTTGAGACAGGGCCTCACTAAGTTGCTTAGGCTGGCCTTGAATCTTGAATTTGTGATTCCCTTTCCTCAGCTCCTGAATCAATGGGATTATAGGCAATATGTCACCACACCTGGGTACCTGGCTGACTTTCTTCTTCTTCAAGGAGAAAATACTACAGCCTCTGTCAGCAATCTAAATCTATTTTAAGAATAAGTTTATATTAATAAAACATTTATATAGTGAAATCACCTCTTAAAAAATACATTTTTTTCCTGATCTTTTCAACCAGTTTATCGCACCCTCCTCCTAATCTTTAATCTTTGTTTGCAAATGGTAGGTTCATCTTTCACTTCAATAGACTGAACTCCTCTCTCTCTCTCTCTCTCTCTCTCTCTCTCTCATTTAGAGACAGGGGCTCACTGAGTTGCTTAGTGCCTCGAAGTTGCTGAGGCTGGCTTTGAACTCCAGATCCTCCTGCCTCAGCCTCCTGAGCCATGCCACCATGCCTGGCTTGACCTCCTCTCTTACTAGCGTTTATACCACTTAAAATGGTGCCCTAACTTAACAGAAAACAAGAAATGCCCACTCCCCCCAACATTTCCTATTACTCATTTTTGCTGCATAAGTATAGTTTCTGTCTTTGAAACCAACTAGCTTATGGGGAATGAAAGCACACAATTTTAATATCATTAATATATCTTACTGCCCAAACTTTATATCATCATTTCACATACAGCACCTTCTTACAGTGTTACTTTCAGCCTCTCACCTAACTCCCGCCCTTCAACGTATACTTTTCTATCTTAGTTTTGTTTGTGTGGTTTTTAAAAGTATCTCCTTCCCATTGGAAGACTTAGGAGTCACCTATCTTTCCTTCATTACTGATGTCTAGCCTTAGTGAGCTTTATATATAATGGAAATTTGAAACTCCACTTTGAGAAATAGGAATCACATAGAGGAAAAATAAAACTCTTCAAAACACACACTACCTTCCACTGCTCTTTTGAAGAATACTTTACAGCTTCCACATGTCAAGACCCCGTAATGACATCCTGAAGCTTCATCAGAGCACACCAGGCAGAGTTTGGGAGGTGGTCCCGTTGTTGTTGAGGAGCTAGATGGAGGGGAGCTTACATCTGGTCTCATTCCAGGGCTAAAGGAAGAGGAAAAACATTTGTGATTTAATTGTGGTGACTGTTAAAGCGATGTCAGAATATATTTCTTGTAGCTTCTCACTCCATATCAGCAGGTTCACACTGAACTCTGGCTTCATGTATTAGCAGGCATTAAAATATCCTATCTAAATATACTAAAGTAACATTATATTGAAATATAATTATTTTTTGAAGAATAGTGAGGTTGCGGTTCATTCAACAATTTTTGTTTTCTATATAAATTTCACTTAGAATTTTTACAATCACTTTAATAAGGTGTCATAAACAATGACATCTACCATTTTCTAAGTGTATAATTTACAAGTCATGTAACTACCACAACCATCAAGACAGAGCGTACTTTTTCATCACTCTTAAAAACAATCCTTACTACCCTTTTATTTAGGACATTAATCTTTTATTTCTTAATTTTGAGGTCTTGTACAAGTATATTTCTAAATTTAAGAGTCTCTTTACAATACTACCCATCTCTTCTACTAGAGTAAAAATTTCTTACCATCTTAGGGTTTGGTCCTACATGTGTCACTTCCAATGTCATCCTAGTTAAAACCATAGTTTCTTATGACTTAGAAAAGACTAATCCAGAAGCTTTGTCTTATAACTTTCCTACTGGGTTTACAGTATTACTAGAAAAAGCACTAGACTTTCAACACAGAGGACCATTCTGCCCTCTGCTCTCAATAAAAATACCCATAAGAAAAAGATGAAAAATGTGAATCTGTTTTTTTTTAAAATCAGGTTTTACTTTTCACTTTGCAAACTTCTTATCACACAGGCCTAGTGTTTACTGCATTTAAAAGATACATTATTTTTCTTTAAAAATTTGAAACTCAAAAAAGTTGAAAGCAGTACAATGGGTATGTACTTTTTTAACTTATATTCCCCAAATCTTAGCATTTTGCCATAATTGTTTATAAACATGTATTTTCTTTTTCTAAAAATTTTTTATTTTTAAAAATTTGTTCTAATTAGTTCTACATGGCAGTAGAATGCATTTAGACACATTGTACACAAATGGAGCACAACTTCTTCCCCTGGCTGAACATGGTGCAGAGTCACACTGGTAGTATAATTATACATGTATACAGGTTAATAATGTCCATCTCATTCTACCCTTCTTTCCATCCCCATACCCTCTCCCCTCCCCTTACTCCCCAAGCAACAAAACTGATCCTTTTAATGCTGGAGGAAAAATTAACTATTGCATTTCATATTAAATGTACAATGGTTTCCAATTTTTTATCTTCCTAAGGAATATTCATCTCACATGCTGACTTATGTAACTAAAAGAATATCTAGACTTCTGCTTATAATTAGAGACTGCCCATTCTTTATTTGGTTATGCATTCTCAAGCAAATTTTCAAAAATATAAATGGTAGCAACCCATTTTGATTTTGGACTTAATTAAAGTGTGTTATCACAAGAAATGTCACAAACATACCATTACCTGTTTTTGAACTTTGCTTAATATGTCTGGTTTCAAAAAGAGATGATATTTAGGTATAAACTTAGATGGGGAAGAAGCTGTCTCTTTTTCATTCTTTAAAAATTCATGTGTTTGTTTAATTCAGCCAATAACAGAACTAAATTGCAAATACAGGGATGCTTTAAGTAATTCAGAGAGCATACTAATGTAAGGGCTTGTTTTCAGCTATCAACCTGGTTAAAATTATATTTATCAGGTAAATATAATTTTTATAAAGTGATCAATCATTTGTGTTAAAATATTGAGTAACTGAGTCATTAAACTCAAGCTTTCTCTAAATTCGGTCCTCAAACTTCCTGTATTTTGTCAACTGTCTGCTTATCTAAGAGGCTTTTTCAGTTGGACAGCATTCCTACCACCCCAATTCTGGGAATAGGCCCCAGGGTTTCACATTGTTCTCTGAACATTGTCAAGAAGAATTCTTGCATGCTTCCTTATCACAAGGTATTGATTCCTTGCTAGATTTGAATGAGTGAACCTGACTACATATTGAAGGGAAAAGGGCACATTCATACATTGTTGGTGGGACTACAATTTGGTATAATCACTCTGGAAAGCAGTATTTAGATTCCTTAAAACAAACAAACAAACAAACAAAACTAGGAATAGAACCATTATTTGATCCAGTTTCCCCCCTAGTTGGTATATTACTACAGTAATGGAGCCACATCAATATTTATAGCTGTACAATTCACAACAGCTAAGCTAAGGAGCCAATCTAGGTTCCCTTCAGCAGATGAATGGGTAAAGAAAATGTGGTATCTGTACACAATGGAGTATTACTCAGCCATAAATAAGAGTGACTTTATGACATTTGCTGGTTAAGTGGATAGATCTGGAGAGGAGACTATTATGCTAAGTGAAATAAGCCACTCCCCCAAAGCCAAAGGTCAAATGTTTTCTCTAATATGTGAAAGCTAATCCACAAAAAGTGGAAGAGATAAAAATAAAAAAAGAAGATTAGTGGAAGAGACAAAGGTGAATGAAGGGAAGGGAGAAGGTAGGGATAAGGAAGGACAGTGGAATAAATTTGACATAACATTCCTATGTACATATATGAATAAATCACAGTGAATCTCACCATCATGTACATCTATAAGAAATTAATTAAAAAATATTGAACTTCTGCCAGTTACCCATGGTTAGAATAAAGGGAAAGGAGCAAGTGATAGGACTAGGGGTGGTACTGGGGACTGAATTAGAACAAGATCCATTCCATGCTTTTTTAATTATATTAAAATGGATTCTATTGTCATATATGACTAAAAAGAACCAATTTAAAAAAGTAAGTTTGTGTTAGAAGAGAATAACCTGAAGTGACTCTGCTGTAGGTCTGGCACAAGCTACCCAGATTAATGGAAACTTGTGACTAATGGAGTTGCTCTGGGCCAGAGTTTTACAGAGAAGTAGAAAGGTCCTGGAGCAAGTGAACTAGAGCAGCAATGTGTTGGGGAAGCAAAAACTTCCCTGGCTTCTGTTCTAAAGATGCTCTTATTACTGCCCAGCCAATTTCTATCATCTGACATCTATTTTTAGGGACCAACCATTTGCTTGTATATTTAGCTTATGGAAAATAAGTGCATTGTTTAAAGTTTTAAAAATATGAAAGGTTAGTTCTGTAACATTTTCTGCACCAAGTTAAGCACATGTGCACACATATATGTGTATGTTTCAATTTTAAATAGTGTTTGGTAGTACTTTGTAGTTTTAGAACACTTCCATGAATACAATCTCATTTATCCTTTGAGTGACCCTGTGAAAAGAATGTCAAAGTCTCTAGAAGAAGTCATACAGGGCTGGGGTTGTGGCTCAGTGGTGGAATGCTTGCCTAGCCCATGTGAGGCATTAGGTTCGATCCTCAGCACCACATAAAAATAAATGAAAGTGATGTGTCTATCTGTAACCAAATATATATATATATTAAAAAAGAGATAATGCAGGCAATGGCAGGTGTTTGCTCATTTGTAATTAAACTGACATGTTTCAGATCCTAGTTATACTACAGCATAGCTTGTGTGACTTTACTACTTTGAGCCTCAGTTTCCTCATCAGTAAACTGGTGAAGACATCATCTGTGCTTTGTAAGACAACACATAGAAAGTCTAGAACATAGTTTCTACATCGAGCTGGCAATTAATATATGTTCATTCTTCTCTTTCAGTGCAACAATTTTACAAATAAAAGCACTGTGTAAGTGAAAGGTAAGTATTACAAAGTCTAAAACCCAAGACAGTATTCCCCAAATAATTATCACATAAATTAGAAGATATGTAAAACAGGGATAGACCTCTCAACTGAGCTACAGATATCAGAAGGGAAAATTAAAACTAATTGAACAAATGGACTTTTGTATAGTAGCTAATAATCTGGAACCACACTCATGCTTTTAGCTTCTTCAGGCAGTCATTCTGGGCTAAATCAGATAAGAATTGAATACATGGAAAGCTGCCAACTGTACCACAAACTTCAATGGAAAAATTAGTTTTTGTCACACAAATATGAGGACTATGATGGCCTATACTGAACATCATTGGAAGAAATGGATGAGTACAAAATGATATTCAGTTGCAAATGTTATTTGCTATGATATTGCTAAAAGGCCTAGGGTACAACAAAATGACTAGTACTCTAGGGAAAACCATATGGAATTGTTGTCTTTTAATAAGATGCCACAGAAGAAAGAAATTATAGGTACCATAGTAATAGTGAATATTTCACATCTTTTGAATGGGAAAGCTAAAATGTCCTGGTCTTAAGGGCATCATCATCTATAATAGTTACTGATTGCTTGGTGTGTACTTACAGCTCTTCCACACATTTTGAAGATACTGAGAGGTTCCATTTTGAACTGACTATACCCTGGGTGCTTTCTTTTTAAGTGAAAAGCTGTAGGAAAAAATATCTGTTGATTCCCAGTCAGAAAGGCAAATCATGTGTTAAGAGAGACAGAAAATACATGTTTTTTTTTTAAAGAAAAGTAACTGATGTAAAGTGGACCATGGGTGAAACAGTCATAGATAGATTATGAAAGTTAATCATATACCATAAGAAGCACGTCAAATGTACAAATAAATTATACCCATTCATTTAGCAGACGGTTCCTGATGCCTGAATGTCAGGCACTATGAAGGTATAGAAGCCATATGATACATGAAAATGCATTCTTGAAATGACAGTGAACTTTGAAACTTTAATCTAGGAAGGAGTAGCAGAGTTATTTTTCAACTGTGCCATGGAACTACTAGGAAGGCAATCAGCCTTATAGACAAAACTGGGGTCAAATCCCAACTTCAGTGCTCTACTAGCTGTGTGACAAGGGCTAGCTGATTGAGCCTTTTTTGAGTCTGTTCCCTTATTAGGGGCAGGGGTTGTGTGGACTATGAAATATTAGTCATATAAAGCACTGGTGTATACTTGGTGACTGTCAAACACCAAGTAGGTCTCTATACTAATAACCCTAAGGATTCTCTTTCTTTCCCCCCAGTCCCTCC